TTAATTTATTTTAGATGTAGATTATAAACTATTTATAACTTGAATTATACACCAACAACTTTGGGGGTACAAAGTTGAAGAGAAATTATATCTGGGGGTACGCGAAGACATCTTAGGGGGTACGTGAAATTTAAAAAAAATTATATTATTTTATGATAAACACTGAATAATCAGTAATGTAATTTATTTAATTTATTTTAGATGTAGATTATATACTATGTATAACTTGAATTATACACCAACATCTTTGGGGGTACAAAATTGAAGAAATATTATATCTGGGGGTACGCGAACAAAAAAGGTTGAACACCACTGGTCTAATGCATAGTGCGATCATTTTAAGCATCAAAAAAAACACTACACGTGAGGAAAAATTCCTAACATTTGTGAGAGAATCAATTAGATCTGCAGTAACTGAAGAATTTTCTAAGTAACTGAGTTCATCTCTATCCAGTTCCAATTCGCTGACTCCGAGATGTTTGTCGTGGCCTACGTCACTAAGCTGAGGTCCGGTTTTCCACCCGTGGAATTCTTCGTGAATCACGTAGCCTGTGCGGTCGCCGAAGGACAAATTCCAATGCTTCCTACTAGAAAAACAGATCGGAAATAAATTCATTTCCAATCGCCACGATTTTATTTCACAATGTTCCAACATTTATACTTCTGTGACGTAGATAAGTAATGTCATCGGGCATCGAACCCCAGTCGTCAGTCAATATACTGACTGAACTACCCCAGCTCCCTATCAGAAATATACTATTTTTTTTTTTATTTAGTGTACGGCCTTGCCCAACACAAGTTATAAATTCGGGCACCGCCGGGAATCGAACCCGAGACCCCAGGATTACAAGGCCAGCGTTCTAACCGCTAGACCACCGTGGCTATTAAATATACTATATAAATAAATTATTCGTTAAGAAACTAGTAGTTGCTCAGCTGGTTGAAGCTCTTATATCGTGTTCTGGAGTGGCCACTACACAATTTAGATTAAACTGGTCCAGGATAGTGTCCAGACGCAGGCTTTTGTTAACACTGTGATGAACCTGCTCAGCTGAGGGACTGTCGAGGCCAGTCAAGGTCTTCGCGTCCAAGTCTGAGCGAAGGTCGCGGGAACCTTACGACGCCTGACCTAAAAATAATGCTGACGAAAATTTGCTTACACATTGTAGCGAGACAGACGAATGACCTTGAGCGCTGATTAATTTGTTGAGAATTGCTATCTGCCAGACCAGAACAACGCCGTCAACGAAACCAGGTGACTTTTATCCGCTGCAAATCGACAGAAAAACAAAAGTTGGCCACGTCTGTCTAAAAATCTCGTTGCTTAGCCTAAAATTTATATCAATTAGTTCGGATACCGACATGTGTGAGGGGGTGACGTCTTCAGGAAGGTTAATTTGGCACGGGTCCATGAACTGACGGCAAGAAACAGTGCGGGGAATCCACCGATTCAATCAAGCAAGAAAATTTATCTTCGTCTTGAAGTGAGGTTAGAAACGAAAAGGTTTAACCGTGCGAACAGATATAAATTCTACATCAAAAGCACAGCATACTTAGACATAACATATTTATACGTATTCAAAATGGTCCCCCATAATTTTTCGTCAGCTGTTCTCAACCCCCGGGATCAGTCTGTATCACTGAACTACCACTTTTACTCAAAATAATCACAGCCTAGATATTTTTACGTGCTAAATGGGGATACCTTTATCTTTAACTTTATTAGAAGTCCATATTCTGGGATCTTGATAAACATTTTAATTGCACTGAATGAAAAACAGTCATGTAAAAAAGCTACAATTTCCGTCTGGAACCATTAAATACTTTCTTACCATTTATGTCAGATAAATCAGATAAACGTTAAACTTCCTGAATGGAATTTTTGACGTGTCTTGATTTAATGTTGCAGTAAGCGGGTGCTAGATCGATCCGTGACCTATTTTGTTTATTTAAGTAGGCTTTTAGAAGCTCAGAATTTTCAGGGCGAACGTTCAAATGCATTCGAATTGTTACGCAGTCCCGCCCGGTCTATTAAAGTCGCTTGTGTCGGTCTTGTTTCAAGCGCTTCATATGGAAACACAGAGCAACCGCAGTGCACGTTGTGCATTAACGGACTATGAACCTGTTACTGTTTCCACAGCCTTTGTAGAAACAAATGAAGTTGATAATAAATAGGGTTAGAGTCCTTGCTAGCAAGTATAACCAAGTGTAACCAGTTGGAACATTTGCTATACTGCAACAAAGGGTCGTGTGTTCAAGTAATGAGTACAGCGGTTGTACGTGACTGCGTAGAAGAAAGGTATTTGGAAGGTCAGTCCGTATAACGTTTGCCCACCCTCGTCGAATGGCTTGTAACACACGGCCTTCGTGTGAATGAGAGGAAAATTCAGGATGAGCAACTGAACGAAATAATATTTGTTGTTGCGTTTACGTAATAAAGTAACGCTACCAAGGATATTTATTGTCAGAAGAAGCTAGCAGAATAAACACAGATGTTTTCGTCAGTACATCTGCGATCATGGGAAGTATAGTTCTGCAGAGTTTAAATATGTTTTTTTTTATTGTGAAATTTTCGAGAGCTTTCGGAAGCAAATGAATTTCACAGAAAAATGTTAGGCGGTTATTTTAAACTTTATCACCTGACTGAAATAATCTTCGATAGAATATTTTTATCATGTTTCGGTAACATTTGGATATAATTGTTCACTGTCGCGGGGCAACAAGTAGAAATTCATGAAACGTATTCTTTAAGTTCGACATTGCATGGACACAAGCGGTAAGTTTCGCGATGCTGCCATCTGCTACAACAGAAATGGCCCGCGGTGTCGATGGAAGGGGCCCTAGAGTCGGTCAGGACGCCGTTGTAAAGAGAAAACACGTGTTCTTGACACGAATCGAACCCTGGGGTGTTCAGACCGCGTTCAGCTACGCTAACAGCTCCTTGTTTGACAGCAAGTGGCCATGAAACCCATGTATAATAATAATAATAATAATTCAATTAATTTAATTTATTACTTTATTATAATATAATAGAAGGGCGTCTAATTCGGGGAGTTTTATAAAAAGTTGCACAAAGAGAGAAACGGAAATTACAGTAATTAAATAATAAAAATGTTGTCTAATACGCGGTATAATTAACAATTACGATTTCGTAATACAGACAAAAAAAACACTGTCTCACCCAAATCACGTACAGCAGCGTTCAGGATTTGGGGAATCAATAATTATTTACAAGAAAAAAATACTATTATCCGGCTGTGATTGGCTTCAACTCTTTTAATCATTTATCAACATAATTTCCGAGTCAACACGATCTGGTGCGCCAACTTACGACTGCGCAGACGGTAGGGTCCAGAAGTAGTTTTACTGGACAAGCCTTAGAATAACTATAAACTGACTATTCACTGATAAGCACAGATGTATTCTGTAGCATAATAAAAAACGTTCAAAGCCGTGAAGGCCACACAAAATTGTTGGAATAATCAGTTCACCAATTGACAAAGCGGTAGCAACCAACCTCTTCACTGGCACTAATTCTTATGGCGGAGGCAGGCAGCCCCAAATCACGCGTCCTTTGCTGATGCACGTACGCATGCGCGGTCTTACCAAGTGCCCCCTTAGAAGCAGCATGTGATTTGATTACGACGAAGTTCATAATAAATGGACCAAGAAAACTGTAATTTACTGTAGATCCACAAAATCAAATCTGGTAAACTAGTTCCTTTTAAACAGAATTCTAGATGTGAGAGATGCCATTCAATTCAGTAGGCTATTATATTAAAAATTGCTTCAGAATGTGCGTTGGAGCAGAGATATAAGGTATTTGGTGCATACGATTAAAGACAACGGAAGCATGATGATTTTGATAAAGAAATCAAACATTATTTCATTCATCACGAAAGCGTGAAGTTTTAAATTATATAAATTTAGGTTAACCAGTACAAGCAAATACCATAAATGACTGTCATTACAGAAATCAAACCCTGCGCCAACCTTAAAATATCGCACAAGTCCATGCCAACTCGAAAAGCTTTCGCCAGGATTCATGCATGATAAGAAAAAGAAAGCTAAACTCCTCCGTTTGCTATAAATTTCACATTCGTTTCACATCACAATTATTTGACCGTGCACTGAAATTTTATTGTCAAACTCACTTTTAAAATAACTTTCATGCGCCGATAGTCACTGCACACAGGATGTTTAAAAGACCCTTAAGTTATTTCAGAGAGCATCTGAAATAGTAAAAGTTCTAAAGTATGGTTTTTAAATGTGAGCTAACTCTACGTAGAGGACCTGTCCTTCAAAAGCTAACAATAGCTCTCAACTATCACTCTCTTAGGTCCTAAAATTCTTCTCGGAATCCTGTTCCCAGTCTCTTTCGCGAGCACTTAATTTTCAGTTATTGTAAACGACAAAGTTTCATCACGACAATATAAAACAACAAGTAGGTATATTTACACATCCAGTCTTTCAGTTTTGATAATTATTTAATTTAATCAACTCTCAAATTATCGATAATGGTATTCTGGGTTGTGTGCAAGTCATTATTAACGTTTCTGAGGAACATACTGCCTCCATCCTTAGCCCTGACACCTACCTACAATGCGTCACGACTCGGAACACCAACAGCGACAACTTCGCGCGGTAAGATCTCGCAACAAAAACGCTCTTAACGTACGTATGCATGAACGCAATGTTGATGTGTTCCTTTTTCCCAAATATTTGAACTAAATAGGGCCTTAGGTCTCACCAGGAACGGGAATATTGCTTATAGATGACAGGAAAATCAGCATAGGCAAACGATGGAGTAAAACGGGCGTAGAACTACATTACCGACAAAATGGCGATGAAGAGTTTTTCGAAAACAAGGACATGTGACAGAGTTACAATAATAGACTTTGCCACATGTACGTATATAAACGTATAACCAGCACCTGGTCTAATTCGTAAATTAAGGGAGTAAAGTAGATAGATTACATGAATGCAACAATTAAACTCACCTGGTGAATCTGTGCCCGTTTGACTTCGATGTACATCCAGTTATCCGTTGAAAAGGCGATGGCTAGCAGTGCAACAGCCACGATGGCTGTTATTGTCGCCAGAGACAAGGTGACCGCCGAACAAGGCATCGTTTCTCAGTTGAAGAAGAACAACAAAATGTTTACGTTTCACTATGACAAAAACTTAGGGGGGGGGGATAATTCTTGCGACTAATACTTTCGACCACGACAAAAATACAATAAATCCACTCTTCAAACACAAACACTCACACACACACTTGAAATTTTATAAAATAAATTACAGTTCATACGCCTCGCTGTCTTGACACAACCAAACACTTCACTGCATCTTCACTGACTGAAGAAATGTTACTTGCT